TGTATAAAAGTGATTGTGTTCACAAGCGAGGAGTTGTTAGTGATTATTTTAATGTTGGCGTTTGGATTCATTGTAGTAAGCACAAAAGTTAACAGAGTTATTAATGTGTTTAAATAAGAAGGCCAACAGTTGGTAAAACAACTGAATGAGGTATCAAGATGTTGCAAGCAGCAACTGGCGATTATGCGAGAGTTATTTTTGATATTGCATCAACCACTTGTTATGTATAATGTTATTGTTTTTTTGTTAAAATTGTCTTTCGTCATTGTGTTCCAGAGTGGTCTTGGGGGGTTGTTGAATAAACATAAGGGCCTAGCTAGGACTGGGTGTATTTCTTGTTTTTGGGATTGATTTGTTGTTAGTGAGTTTAACATTAACGCTTTTTTAAAGTCATCTAAATCGATGTGGATTTCTTTTTTACAATCTACTTGAAGGTTGTATATAGGTTCTGTAGAATAAAGTAACAGTATTTAGAGATGTAGGATCTGTTTTTTAGAGTGCATCCTTGGCAGACTAACAGTGTATTGTCTGAATTAGGGTTGCAGATGAATTAAAATTCTAATGATGCACCACTATTCACCAATCACCAATCACCAATCAGCATTGGTGATACTGGTGTTACTGGTGGTGCTGGTGTTACTAGTGGTGCTGGTGTTACTGGTGGTGCTGGTATTACTGGTGGTGCTGGTAATACTGGTAGTGTCAGTGATACTGGTGGTGCTGGTAATACTGGTGGTGATGGTGATACTGGTGTTGTACTGGTGATCATGGTGGTGCTGATAGTAGTAGTACTGACAGTTCTGGTATTGGCAATATTAGTATTATTGGTGATAATGATAGTATAAAAATATCAGTAGTACCAGGAATGGAGTGATGAATATTACAATGTGTATGGCTTAGTCAAGAAAGAAATAGTGTGTGTTTCCAAAATCTAATACCTGATTAGTCTGCGTGATCATAGTTGTCACATCTTGTATATTCTTCACTACAATTAAAATCACGACCCATCTTCATCAAAGCCACAAATCTGCATTGCTTAATGATAATTCACTGTTAAAATCTCTGCTAAGTTATGAATTTACTCTACAAGTCTAAAATCCACTCATTGCTAAAATCTTTAACTTATTATTACTCGAATTGTAAACTGATGTAAGCTACATATCACATTATATTACTTATCCATCAATTATACCGATGTACACTGAATGCTCTCAAATAATAATTATTGTACCTGCACATCAATTGCACTGATGTATACTGCATCTTCTTTATATATAATCATTTACAAAGCTACTTGTATATTAATCTCACCGATGTACTCTTAATAATAATTACTGTACTTGCAAGTCAATGTATGCTGCATTCTCTCAATATATAATCATTGACAAAGCTTAACACACAGCATCATTAGCCAGAAGCCAGTCAGAATCCTGCTATTTGTCATATCTTTAAACTTCATATCTGGCACTATTGGCCAGATGCTTACCTCCAACTAATAATAAATATATCACGTGCTTGCAATACTTTTCAATATTATATTGTAATTAAACATATTTACTAATCTTAAATAAAGTTTCCCGTTCCTGGTTTTAGCACGACTACATTATGCAGCTACCTAATATTAGTAATACTAACATATTTAGAGTTAACTATATATCGATTATTAGATAAAAGGATAAATAAAGCTCCAGTTATAATTATTTTCATTTAAAAATTGTATAAAAATAGCATTAAACTGGCATAATTATTTATACGACAAAGTCTAACAGAGTAGCTAAATGAATAGATTCTATATTAATAAATATTATGCCTATTTGCAATATTTTACTTGACATCATAGTTATAATAATAAACAATT